ATTTGTTTTCCTGAAGCAATCAGGAGGCTTGCAGAGACACACTTCTGCATCTCGAATAAATATAGTATTTTCCCAACAGAAACAGAGGACAGTAGCTTGGCTTTGGTCTGATTCTAAAATTAGTGGGGGTGGGGGGAATGGATGATATTTTTGAAAAACACATGCTTGGGTCGAAAAAAAAATGCAACGTCTCGAGCTTTCCACCACAGCTCGCAACATTTCCTGGAAAGAGAATAATGATGCTTTAGCTCAACAACCCTCCCCCCTATCTGGGCCCTGGCCCCCAATAATAAAAAGCTGATTTTTGAGATGAAGCATGGATTTGGGTTTTTCTTGCCTTCAGGCATTGTTGTTTCTCGGTGCCCCAGCCTCTCATCTGGCCCCCTGTAGCTGGGCTACTCTGGTCATTAGAGAAGCATTAAGAGAATCCAGGAATGTACGGGTGGAAAGAGTCCCTAGAGGTTATGTAAGTCAACCTCTGACCATTTTACAGACATGACACCCAGGCCTAGAGAGGGGAATGACCCACATCAGCATGCCGGCTGCACTCTCACGGGGTGAAATCTAGGAAGAAGATGCTCTCTGAGCCCCCTCCGCAAGCAAGCCACACAGGGTAGCCTCTCAGACTGTAGAGCTTTTGGGTGTGGGGAGGGAAGCAGCTCTCAGAAGGGGTAGGGTGGGTGTACAAGGACCTGACCCTAAGACCAGCACAGCCTCAGAGGGTGGCTCTCCTGACCCAGCAACTTCTCCATGGCATCATGCCATATTGATGCGTCCTGGAGTCTGGCCATGTCGTCAGAGCTCCCAGGCCCCTCTCCAGACCACAGCCACCTCTCTCCTGAGGCCATTGATGGAGCCAGAGGCAGAGATATGACTGGAGATTGACGCCCTTACCCAGCTGTCCTCTGGACTCAGTCTGGTGGCATACCTCATCGGATAGCCCCTCGCTCAGCCTGGAGGCAGGTTTTTGAAAGGGTGAAGCCCCCTTCTAGGAATCTTGGTTTGCTCGGGCTGTTTCTGTGGTTTGTAGGGTGGGGGGCTGGGGTTCCAATTCTTTTCCTATCCATTAGAGAACTCAGGAATGCCCAGGTGGAAAGAGTCCCTAAAGGTTACGTAAGTCAGACTCTGATCATTTTACCGGAAACAGGGACCTAGAGAGGGGAATGATCCGCTCAGGGCTACCAAGATTTCACTTCCCAGCCCAGCATGCCTGAACCAATGACCAAGGTGGAAGGCTTAAAGGGGTACCAGATTCTCAACCAGCAGTTCCCCGACTTCATTAAGATTATGCCTCAACATCTGGGTACCCCATGCAGCCTGAGAACCAAAGGGTTAAGTGTTAGTGGAGCAGTGAGCATACTGAGAGCCATTTGGAATATGGGTTTTCAGGGACATGGTAGCTAATGGACAATGGGATTAATTGAGCATGTACTATGTGCTGGACATCTTTCAGATATTTTCTAACAATGTTAAGTGCCATCCAGTTGGGTTCCAACTCATAGTGACTGAATAGGGTTTCCAAGGAGCAGCTGATGGGCTTGAACTGTTGACCTTGAGACTAGCAGTCCAGTGCTTATCCTACTGCACTACACTAGGAACCCTTTCTAATGATAACTCACAATAATTCAACATTCTCATTTTAGAGAATAAGGCCCAGGGAGGTTAAATAACTGGCCCTAGGTCACATAGCTAATGAGTGATGAAGCCAAGATTTGAACCCAGGTGATATGACTCCAGAGCTCATCTTAAGCTGTTTCAAGATGGCAACACTAGGGTGGCTGGTCCTAAATCCCAGGAGCCTCAGAACCTGGTGTCCTATACTCCTTCATGAATCACCATGAGTATGACAGTTGGGACTGCTTTCTATCTTTCCATTACCCGCCTCCCCTGTCTGAACCTTCCATATACACATCTGACCATCTTGCTCTCCCGCTTATTAAACTCCCCGCTGCCCCTGAATAAAGTTTAAGCTCCTTACAGTGGCCTGTACAGCCCCACCCATCTCTCTCTTCCAACTCCCCACTTTCCCACCCACTGCCTGAGTCAGAACTCTGAGCTTGTAGCAGTTACACATACACTTCCTAGGACCTGAAACGCCTCTCTAAGACCCCAACCATTTCCCAATTCCCAGTGATCATCTGGAAGCAGTGGGTGCCTGGGGCATGGTGGATGGTCTTTCTTGTGAATCTTGGACCAGGATTCACTGCTCACCAAGCACAATCTCATCTAATGTTGGTCTGGTGTTCCTCACAACCTCCTAGGACCAAGGGTGGAGTGTTAAAGGCAAACAGGGGAGCTGTGATCAGGAGGGAGAAGTGTATGTGTAGGCAAGGATGTAAACATCCTACAGGAGCGCTCTGTAAGTAATTGCTCCAGAGGCCAGACCAAAGGCCTGTGAGCCCACAACAGATCCTCTCCAAGTCTTCCCTTTCTTCTCACATAGAGGAATGTAAGGGCTGAGTCACTTCGTCAAGCAGAACAATAACATAACAAAGTACTCTTTTAAATGTGTGGGCCCTTTCTCAAGTTGTCTTCTATGGTTCACTAACTAAACAGGTGGATACTACTGCACATTGACTTAGAGGTCACACCAATTATCAAACATTTGTAAAAGAGATAAAAGCTGAGGAATGAGGCGGTACGAAGGACCATAAAGTCCATTCATTTAAGCAATGAGGGTCCTCATCGGCAACCCCACAAGATGCACTGGCCAGTTCATCCATTAACAAACATTTACTAGGCACCTCCTCTGTAGCAGGACCCATCCTTGGTGAAGGTGTTCCCAAACTGACCAAGACCTGTCCCTTGTTCTCAAAGTAGCCTATGGTCTATCAGAAAGGGCGACTTGGTCATCTATAAGTCTAAGAATGACCAATAGGGACTCAAAGGGGCCAGAAAAGCCTCTGGATGTTATCAACACCCTATCACTGCTCTGGAACTCAGGACCTACTCAGATGAAGCCAGTGAACTGATCAGAAGAAAGCCCATTCCGTGTGAGGTTGCTGCTGGGAAGAGTGGGACAGAGGAACTCCAGGTGATGGGACCAGCTTTAGTGTGTAGAGCCAAGAGCCATCTATTATTGCATGTATAGGTTACCTGCACCCTGTTGGCTCCCTAGAAGGGTCTGACTCAAGTTCTGAGTTTCTAGATCAAAGAGCTTAGGGCTCTGTACCACCTTGTTAGAGCAGGGGAAGGAACCCCACAAAGACCTTAGGAGAAACACAAGGACTCACTAGCAGAGGACTTGACATTTTGGTTTCTTCCAGTACATGCTGAAAGAGGTAAGAGGGAACTTTGCGTTGCTCTCCTGTGGGAGTGTTGGCTCCTTGAGAGTGGACACTGTCTGAGAGGTCTGAGTGCTGCCCAGTGTGAGACGGCTTTTGGAAGGGTTGTAGGACAGTGGGGGGTGACCTTGGGGTTGGTCCGGTATGTCACTGGGTCATCTGACTGCTCCATCTCAGGGGAGTCTGGTCACCTTGGGGATCTCCTTTCTTCCATCACAAGAGTTCTTGGAGGTTATGTTGGTTCCTATTGGTTCTGGGATGGGGCAGGTCAAGGACTCTGCTGACCAGGGCAGCCATGTTTCTAGGGTATAAGGCTGGGAACAAGTGAGTGCTTTCCTGCGCTGTGCCCACCCCAGGTCTCAGGGCCATGTTGTATCTTACTCGTTTCTAGCTCAGGGCTCTGCCTGGGGCATTTCCCAATCAGGACCCAGGACTAGCAGTGAGGTGCATGTGAACAATGAAAATGTTGGGTAAGATTAGTGGTTTTTAATGTTTCTGATGGATCGCTTATCAAATCACAACTTAGATGAAGCCCAATGTATAAAATGAGGAGATTTCAAAAGGTTCATGGAAACATTCTATTATCTCTTAATGCCATTTTTTCCATGAAGTTTTTGAAGCCTCCTTGCACACATAAAAATAAAGTTAAGAGGTTCTGGGCCTGTCTAGTTGACTGCTGAGTTCTCAGGAGAGTCCTGGGCTCTAAAGAAACCAGTTTGAAGGGCACCAGCTAGATGGGCATGAAATGGCCTCCTGCTCTGATGTCCGTGATGTTGTAACTTCTCTTAGAGCCACTGGAGCCCACACCTCACAGACCCAAACTTTCTTCTGAGTCATACAAAGAAAGCTGTGTGGGATGGGCCACCAACCTGGCTGGCTAGCTGGTGACACTGGCACATTGGGCTTTGGAGAAAGACCTCTGAGATCCTCTGGCCATCGTCTGTTGCCAGTCACAACAGCAAGAAAGCTGCCGTGCACCCTAGAGCCAGAGCTGCAACCTGGGGAAGCAGATGTCAGGAGTCCGGCTCTTGCCTTTCACTTGCTGTCCTTACAGAATCCTCTCCCCATGCTGTGGCCTCATCTGAAACTGCAGAGTACACAGACTAGTTCCATAGATTTCCCTGGCTCTGATGAAAGCACAAATCTTCTGAGCGTTCCAATGGCTCTCAGTCCCTTGGTCTGTGTCTCAAGGGTCTCCTCTGCGAGGTCTTCCGGAAGTCTTGTCTTTTCCTCCATTTACCCATCTCCAATTCCTTCAACCCCAGAGCCTTCTCCCTTGGCCCTAGTCAGCAAGACAAGTGTTTCTTCCTGCCCAAGTATTCAGGCCATCTGAATACAGTCCCTCAGTATTTTTGAACCAGCAAATTACATGCTCTGAGCTCTGAGAGTAAAGCTCAAGGAGAACCTTGGAACCTTAGGGTCTTGCTGAGTCCAATGCTTCAGTATTAACAACCCACTGGAGTCAGGACTGGGCAGGGGCAGGTGGGAGCTTCCCTGCTGGAGCTGGACATTTCCATGTCCCTTGGTGAGGACCTCCACTCTCATTCTCATCTGTTGAATGGAAAAGGTATCCATTTCCTTGAGCCCTGGACACCGGGCAACAGCGTCCTATCTTTCTGGTCTGTGGTCATCCCAACCACCAGGGCCAACCCTACAACCCAGCATAGCATTTCTCCAAGAAAAGGTTTGGTGGAAAAGCCATTTTATTAACTGTTCTCAGTCACAAGTTCCACTTCTGAACCTGTCACACTGGGTTGAAGTTTCTGATGGTCTTTCCTTCTAGTTGCTTCATTTTCTAGTTGGTCCATTCTTTCCTGAGATTCAGTATCTTCAGTGGCATCTGGGGAAGGATCCATGACCTTAAGACCCTGGTCCGGTGCAGGAAGGGCTGGCAGCTGACAGAGGGCCAGAGAGTGGCCCGCTCCACAGCCCAGCTGGAGTGCTGTTAATGGTTTCAGAGCCTGCACTGGCATGGGGGCCCCGATATTGGCTTCAGTGCCATCCCCACACATGCCGTGCTCGTTCCAGCCCCACGAGTAGCACACTCCACCTGTGGAAAAGAGGACAACATGAGAGTGCAGTTTACACATGAAGCAAGCACTTGATGTCTGCCCTGACTCCAGGATTTCTGTTTCCATCAGCTCATAACTCTTCATGCCCCAAACCTGACTGTCCTCCTTGACCCTTCCCTGACTGCCACCTTCCACTATAACCTATCGCCCAGACTCAGCAAATCTGCCTCCAAAAACGATCTCAAATCCTTTCACACCTCTCTATCGCCCTGCCACCACGGATCCAGAACACTATTTTCTGTCCATTGGGCCATGCTAACACCCCCAGTGGTATCATACCCACCCCAATCTTCCAGGAATATCAAAGTGATCGTTTACAGTCTCAAGTCATGTCAATCCCCTGCTTAGCACCCGTCAATGGCATCCCGCTGCCCTTGCTGAGACATTTCCCAGTTGTCTGGCTTGCGACCCCCTGGCTAGCCTCACCGTGCACAAGTCTCTTACACTTCAGCCATCTTGGTCGCTTTCAGATCCTGAATACACTCTGTGGGGCCTTCTTTCCCACAACACCCGCACTTTACTGGGGCTCCACTCCAGACTTCTTCATCCTTTTGATTCCAGCTTAAGTGTCACTCAGAGGCCACATTCCCGTACCACCCAATCTAAATTAGATTCTCGTAACTGTCTGGCATTCTGTGAGGGGAGAACAGACTGCATGTTTTGTACACTGCTGCATCTTGATGCGTAGTACAGTGCCTCGTATGCAACTGGTGCTCAATAAGGATTCATTGAAAGATAAAAAAATGAACAAGTTCAGAGTACCAGAAAGTAGCAAAGTCAACATTTAAACCCAGGTCAATATGACATCCCATGGTGTTTCCATCCTATCACATCACTTCTTGCTAAGTTTTGGGAGCTCCACTAGGGTTTAAATGAACTGAATTTACTGAAGTTGCTATTGTTTCTCAGCATGCTTTTTAATTTTAATTTAAAAAAAAAGACTTTATTTTCTGAAGCAGTTTTAAGTTTACAGAAGAATTATACAGAAAGTCAGTACACAGAGTTCTCATTCACTCACTCTTCCACCCCCACAGTTTCTCCTATTATTAACATCTTGTATATGTATTTGTTACAACCCTTGAACTAATATTGATACATTGTTATTAACTAAAGTCCACAGTTCACAGAAGGGTTTACTTTGTTGCATAGTTCTATGGGTTTTGAGGAATACATTATGTCCTGTGTCCACCATGACAAGATCATACAGAATAGTTTCCCTGCCCTAAAAATTGCCCCATGCCCCACCTACTCATCCCTCCTCTTCCCTTTTTCTACTGTTTTCTGTAGCTGTTTTGAATTTAATTTTTGATATAAAAATAATAGAGCTTCATGGCAAAAATGTAGATAAGTATTACGAGAAACAAGACTTCAGAACCTTGTCTACTACTATGGATATTTTGGCTATTGCCATAGAAGAACAAATTATCTAAAAGTGTGGCATTACAGGATAACACTGGGCTGCTAACTATAAGATCAATGGCTCAAACCTACCAGTCACTCCTTGGAAACATTTTACAGGGTGGCTATAAGTCAGGACCAACTTGCAGCACTTAACAAAAACAACAAATTTATTAAAAATTTTGCGATACTTCACACTGTAGAAAAGTACAGCAAATAATTTAAAAGACACATCCAGATTTAGAACATTAGTTATCATTTTGCCATATTGGTGTTAACTCTTGTTTTTTAATACATAAATTATAAAGATATAATTTAAAACTTACTTCCCATTTATCCCTCCCTCCTTTCCCAAAGTAACTGCTATTTTGAAGCTGGTATGTATTATCTGTATGCTTATCTTACACTCAGGTGTTTCTGTATGTGTCCTTAAATACTATGTAATATTTTGCTTATATAAAGTATTTACATAAATAGTATCACTCAAATGTGTCTCTTACTTGTAGCTTTTTGTAGCTTGCTCTTTACACCCAGCATCTTTGAAATTTGAGTTGATATTTACAGATCTAGTACATTTCATTTCTCCTTCCCAGGGTATGTTCAGCTTCTTGAATGCTTATCATCTTGTCCTTCAAGACGTTAGGGAAATTCTCTTCCTAGTACATTTAATTTAACCATACAGAGTGTCTATGTCGCTATCTTATTCTATTTATCCATTTCCCTTCTGATGGGTAGTTTTATTATTATTAGCTCCAATACTATTACTACAATTATAAATAGCGCTATAATGAATACCCTTTAACATTTCTCCTTGTACAAAAATGAGTATTTGTACAGGGTTGATCCCTAAAAGTGAAGGAAATCACATGGTTAACTGTTGCTACGTGCCCTCGAGTCAGATTCAGCGATCCTGTATAGGGTTTCCAAGGACGAGCTACAGTCAGCAGTCCAGTGCTTATCCTACAGCACCACACCAGGCTAACTAGGAATGGCCAAACTGCTCTCCAATGCTTTTCTTTCATTTACACCCATCAGCCTTTGGTTTCCCTGTAACTTTGGAACTAGATTCTGTTGCTATCCCACTGGCAACGAGTCCACTCTGACTACATTTCCCTGATAATCACTGAGATAGCGCGCCCTTTTATGTCTATTAGTTAATTAAGTTGCCTTTTCTTTGAATTGCCTACTCATATGCTTTGCTTGGCAGTCCTGGTGTGGTGCTGTGGGATAAAGCACTGGACTGCAAGGTTGGTTTGAACCACAGGGTCAGCAGTTCAAACTCACCAATCGCTCCTTGGAAACCCTATATAGGGTTGCTAAGAGTCAGAACTGACTCGACGGCACTTAACAACAACAATTCTTTGCTTATTTTGTTATTTGTCTGTCTTGCAGATTCTTGATTTGCATTTTTTTGGGTACATTATTTTGTTTATGATTATTGTTTACATGAATTGCAAATGTCTTCTCAGAGAAGTTTGTCCTATAGCTTTCCATCTTGCTTAAATTGTTTGTTATTCAAATGTATTTATAATGGCTGCTTAATTGCTCATTTCACCATGCCTCAGTTAGTTTGTCCCACTGTGATAGTTTGCTTATTGCTGTGATGCCAATGATATTTTAAATACCACAGTCACCCATAGTGGACAGGTTTCAGTGGCACTTCCAGACCAAGACAGACTAGAAAGAAAGAGACACAGAACACTTCTGAATGTTTAGGTGATGAAAATCTTATGATTATCAGTGCAGTGTTGTCAGATACAGTGCTGGATGGTGAAAACATTGTGAATAGTACCAGAATATTGCCAGATATAGAACCAGAAGGTGAGCCCCTCAGATTGGAAGGCACTTAAACTGTGACCAGAGAAGACTTGCCTTCTCAAAGTAGACTTGACCATGATGATGTGAATGGAGTAGAGTTTTCAGGACCTTCATTTGTTGATGGAACACAACTCAAAATGATGAGAAACAGCTGCAAACATCCATTAATAATTGGAAAATGGAATGTACAAAGTATGAATCTAGGAGAAATAGAAGTTGTCAAAAATGAAATGGAATGCATAAACATCCATATCCAGTTTATCCATGCATAAACTGAAATGGACTGGTATTAGCCATTTTTAATCTGACTATCATATGACTAACTATGCTGGGAAATGACAAATTCAAGAGGACTGGTATAGCATTCATCATCAAAAAGAACATTTCAAGAGCTATCTTGAAGTACAACACTATTTGTGATAGGATAATATCCACACGCCTACAAGGAAGACCAGTTAATATCACTATTATTCAAATTTATACACCAACCACTAAAGCCAGTGATGATGAAACTGAAGAATTCTACCAACTTCTTCGGTCTGAAATCGATCAAACATTCAATCAAAATGTACTGATAATTACTGGTGATTGGAGTGTAAAGGTTGGCAACAAAGAGGAAGGATCAGTAGTTGGAAAGTACGGCCTTGGTGATAGAAAAGATGCTGGAGATAGCATGACAAAATTTTGCAAGTTCAATGACTTATTCGTTGCAAATACCTTTTTAAAACAACATAAAAGATGACTATACACATGGATCTAATCAGATAGAACACACAGATATCAAACTGATTACATCTGTGGGAAGTGATAGTGGAAAAGCTCAGTATCATCAGTCAAAACCAGGCTAGGGGCAGACTGTGAAACAGACCATAAATTACTTATATGCAAGCTCAGAATGAGGCTGAAGAAAATTAAAACAAGTCCACAGAGCTAAAATATGACCTTGAACATATCCCACCTGAATTTAGAGACCATCTCAAAAGAAGATTTGATGCATTAGACACTAATATTAAAAGTATCATGAACTGCCAAAGAACAAACACATTTGTGTTGAAAGAAGTACAGCCAGAATACTCCTTAGAAGCCAGGATGGTAAGATTTTAGACATGTTATCAGGAGGGACCAGTCCCTGGAGAAGGATATCATGCTTGGTAAAGTGGAGGGTCAGTGAACAAGAGGAAGTCTCCCCCCTCCTCACCCGGCCCCCGCCACCGAGATGAACTGACATAGTGACAGCAGCAATGGGCTCAAAGGTATCAATTGTGAGGACGGCACAGTACTGGGCAGTGTTTAGCTCTGTTATGTATAGTGTCGCTGAGTCAGAATTGACTTGACAGCACCTGGCAACAACAAAATTGCCCATTATGGAGACTGACCCGTATCCTTGTTGTTGTTGTTGTTAAGTGCTGTTGACTCAGTTCCGACCCATAGCAACCCTATATAGGGTTCCCAAGGAGCGGCTGGTGAGCTTGAACCGCCGACTTTGAGGACAGATTGTTTCAAATTTTCATTTTGTATAACATAGCTATGAACATCATTGTGCATGAACATTGGTCCAAATCACTAATTTCTCCAATTAGATTCCTAGAATGGTAATTTCTGGTTAAAGGGTATATATATTTTTGAGACTTCTGGTACATACTTGCCAGAATACTTTTAAGAATGGCTACTGGACTATACCCACAGCAATGTGTGGAGTCTCTGCCTTGCTCCAGCACTACAAGTACCTCTCTATTAATATCATAATGGTTAGGAACATTTC